CGGCCAAAAAACCGCATTGACGGCAGGGCCGATCTGTGACGTTCCGCTGCGCAAGCATGTCTGAGCCGAGGCCTTTCCATGCTGACACGGTGTGCGAAGAGTGTCACTGACATGCGCAGGATAACATCCTATTGCGCGTGAGTCAACTTAAACAGGTCCCGGAGTGGAGCTTGATTTATCGAGTGTTATTGCTCCAGCGAACAGCTAGGACCTACAGGCGCCATGGCATGCGCTGCAGCGGCAGTACACAAGAAGAAGCCACAGAGTCGCTTGCTTGCGCTGCTGGCATTGTCCTGGGCGTGCCTGCCAGAGCCCCAGACACGCTCATGCGCCAGACCTCCCAGTCAGTTGTAAAGTTCCCGAGCATCAGGCAGACAGCGCAGCCGGTGCGGGCTTTGGCTGGGCCAACTGTGAGGCCGGGATTGTCACGGGTGAGACGGAGACTGGTTGAAGAGAGGCTTCGCTTTTCTGTGGTCAGGGCTGCGCTTTTTGACCCAAGAACTCCGGCCTTCTGGCTGTCAAGGCTTCGCTTTCTTGCTGTCTGCGCTGTGCTTTGCCGGTTGTCGGTGCGCTTGCAGAAATCCCACTCCACTCCGCACGGCACTCCCCTCCACTCCACTCCAGGGCACTCCCCCACCCCTCCACGGCACGGAGTATGTGTCATTTCCTGCGCTTTTTTCTGGCGAGACCGACCCAGGAATGCCACGACAAAGTGAAACCTAGGCTTGGGCATGTTTTGGGGGGTTTTCTGCGAGACCGACCCAGGAATCCCGCCAAAAGTGAAACCTAGGCTTGGGCATGGTTGAGGAAGTTGCATGTTGGCTTGATCCCCCTCCTGTGGCTAGGTGCTCATCGCGACCTTCGCCTTCGACATCTTCAAGCATATCGACAGGCAGGGTTCAGGGTGTGGTGTTGTCTTTTTCGGTTTCGGTGGCTTTGTAAGGCGGCCTTCGCATGACAGGAGCGCCTTGCGCTGCCTTCCGCCCCTCGCAAGCTAGAGTGTTGTGCGCCTCCGCTCCGCTCCCGGAACCCCGGGCCCTTCTCCTGTGGCCAGGTCCTCATCGTCAACTTCGTCCTCTTCGAGTGTCTCCTCGCCGAGCTGTTCAGGCACGGCAAGCCGCCCGTAGCAGTACAAGGGAGGCAGGGCTCCGCTCCGGGAGCGTGTCATTTCCCGGACAGCGCAGGGTTCGGAGCCTTCGGAAAGT